TCGCCTTGGCCCTCACCCTCAGCAGCACGAAAGCCATCGTCAGTGAGTCCCAGATGGCCATCCGCCAGTACATGCGTGGTCACATCTCTGACAAAGCCCTCAAGATCGCCACTGGTCATCGTCTGATCGACCACCCAGTCCTCATCCTGTGGTCTCCAGCCCATGCGTCACTCCCAGGCAACAAGAGTGTTCACAGTGCAGCCCGCGCTCTTACCAACCGGGCTAGCACACCACGTGAGCACTCGACCTTCGCCTCGTGGAACCACGACAACCTCTACACCTTTAAGGGGGTGCTGGACCACTACCGAGTAGAACGCCGAGCCTACCCAGAGGCTCACAGCACTCTCAGCAAGGCAGAATCCACCATCTTCCGTCAAGTCCAGACGGAGACCTTCTTCAACCCGTCGCAGTTGCACTCGTGGTACCCAGATACCTATGACTCGTCCTTCAAGAACTGTGGCGAGAACGCCACACTCCACCATATACTCTGGGGGTGCCCGGAGCTGCTTCTTCATTCGAAGAATAAGGAGTTCATCAAGCAAGCCAGGCAACCAGGCGCCTGGGAATCCTTCCTGCGGGATCCTGACCCCACGACTCAGAAAATTCTAGTCCAGCTGGCCTCGGACGCCACCGGGAACGTCACGTCTCGTCTGTCGACCGAGGGGATCACTTCGTCAAGTGTCTCTTCCTAAGAGAGAATCGGTTGACGCGGGGATCTAAGTCTTGGACCCAATAAAGTCTACCTCACCTCACCCACCAGGAATGCAAGCGATTGTACACGCTTCTGCCACCAAACATCTCGAAGAAAGAAATATTGCGTCTGGTGCCAGAAGCGACTACCTACATGACTGATCAAACAAGGAAACTAAAGCGTAAAGGTGGTGTATGGGCGACCCCTGATCCCTACATGGGGAAAAAGGCGAATGCCGAAGACGTGACCCTATTGGAAAAACCAGCATGAAAATCAAACTGGTCAAGCTGGTAATTAAGGTGGTCAAGCTGGTAATCAAGGTGGTCAAACTGGTCAATGTGGTAATTAAACTGGTTTAGCTGGCAATCAAGCTGGTTTAAGCTGGGCAAGCTGGAATTTAAGCTGGTCAGTCTGGTCTAAGTAAAAACCAGCATGGTCTCACTCGAATCTGGTTTTAGATTCAATCTGGTGTAGCTGGGAGCCAGTCTGGTCTTAACTGGTCAAACTGGTTTTCCATGGAGCCAATGTGGTCAAGCTGGGAGACGAGCTGGTCATGCTGGGAGACAAGCTGGTGAATCTGGTCGAAATAATAATCGTGGTGGTCAAGCTGGTCATGCTGGGAGCGCGCACGCCAAGGTCGGCTAGAGATAGCCGAACTGGCATTGCTGGGAGCGCGCGCGACAAGGTCGGCTGCTGGAACGAGGTCACGTCCTGTTCTTTGTCCTCTCGTTTTTGGTAGACCACCGGGCGCGTCAGGCGCGCTGCAAGCTACCTTTGTGTGCGAGAAAAGAGAGAGAGAGAGAGAGAGTGGTAGAAACGGAGAATCGAAGACGCGTTTGGATAGCTTGGGCAGAGGGCAGATCGAAGGGACGGCTGTGTGCGCGTTGTTTGGAGACTATAGTTGAACGACGGTGCAAGCGAAGCGGGTTTTGAGAAGACAGCGAGCGGCAGTCCGTTCAGTGCGGGAAGATGTCAGACGTCCCGACTGCGGCGTCGCTTCGTGTCTTCGAACGTGTGTGTGCCCAAGAATGACGGCGGTGCCGAGGAGTATCGCCAATGCCATCCAAGCCACACGGATTTCCTCGCCTCTGCCGACCACGCAAGTTGCCGCTTCGCCCCCATCGCTGGCGGGACCCAGGTTCGCTTCTCTCGTCCGTGTAGTATTTTCGTCTGCTATTGCCTGTTTTTGGCCTGTGTCTAGTATTTTTTTCGTGTTGAGAGATAAGCAATCTGGTTTTATTAACATTGTAGACAATTTGCACCGAGAATCTGTGCGTCGGTTAGTACTGTGTCAGCGCCGAGGATGTGTAGCATTTGAGTTCATGTGAGGCTGCCGCAAGTACGAAAATAATAAATTGGATGCCGAGTTGGCTTTTCTGACGAGCTTGGCTTTTTTATTCTGTGTATTAATTTAAACAGGTTAAACTGGTTGGGAAGTTCACCAGCATGACCAGTTTAACAGCATGACCAGCATGCCAAACTGGGCATGCTGGGGCAATAACCCAGCTTGAAGCTGGGACCAGATCAACCATCATGACCAGTATGACCAGATCAACCAGCATGACCAGCATGCCAAGCTGGGCATGCTGGGGCAATAACCCAGCTTGAAGCTGGGACCAGCTTAAGCTGGTTTTTTCAATAGGGGAGAGTTGCACTTGAGTACTCCACACGCGACGACCTCGGATGCTCTGTTCAAAGCCCCAACAAAAAGGACGTCGTAAAAGCCATGATCAATGATAACAAGACCAAAGTCGTAAAAAGGTTTATGACCCGCTCTATAAAGGAAGCTTACCAGCTGTTTAGGAAGGACCATCCCCATCGAGAACTAGGCATCTCTAAGTTTTATTCTCTACGACCAAAATGGGTAAAAAAGTGTCCCGAGCATGAGGTGCGAGCTTGCATATATTGCGTCAATTTTCAGTTGCTTTTAAAGGCAATAACAAATGCCTCACCAGAGATATTTACTGAAGACAACTTGAAGCGCATCTACTTCTGCAGCACTCCACAGAACGATTGCTTCCTGTGCCGTGCGAAAAGGGCCCAAAAATGCAGAGCATCTCGCTGCAGTCGCTCCATCTCGACGAAGACGAAGAGGTTTGTTTCGCGTTATGGGACGCCGGCGAACTCGTCAAAAAGGCTATGGACACTTCCGCCTTCCTAAAGGAACTGGAGTCGTGGAGCGAGAAGTATGTGAGGCGTTCTTACATCCGTGACCTTGAACGAAGCCTGCTACGTGACATAAGAATCGCCTTACCATCCAAGGCAGTGATGTTCCACTTCGATTTTGCGGAAAATCGGACAGTCATCTTCCCAACCGAACTGGAGAGTTTTCATTGGAAAAAAAAACTCAAGTGTCTCTTTTCACATGTATGGTTAGGTCCACGCAAGGCACGCAAAGCTTTCCTTGTCAGCGATGACAATACACATGGCGCAGCTCATGCTCTTCTAGCTACAAAGGCCATCGAAAAGTATGTTGATGAACATTACCTGCTCTTTTCTGAAATAATTTTTGTATCAGACAGAGCGGCGGCGCCTTTTAAGAATGGCTTCCAATTGCACGAATTATCTCGGAAGCCGTGCTCTTCGGCAAGATGGATCTTTTCAGCCACTGGACACGGAAAAAGCGTAGGTGGTGTTCTTAAACACCACGCAACGCTCACCAACTCGAGATTTTCGCTCAACTCAATAATTGCCACCGCTAAAGACTTTGTGGAAGTGCTGCGTGAAAATGTGACAAATGTCTGCATGTTCCACCTGTCTGCGGAACAGGTTCGAGAGTTTCGTGCGGTCAAGGAAGTAGAGTGGGCCACCGTAAAACCAATGAGAGGAATTCAGGCATCTCATCCGTGGAAGTCATCATATGCCGAGAGCCAGGATGTATACATGGCCACTTGCGCAACTGAGTTTTAAGCTTAGGTATGCATAGTTAGCGAATTTGCAGAGTTCCGTTTTGTTTTTGTGAAAGCTAGGTAATGGTATTCCAGCCGAAAGCAGATTTTCGTGTCAGTTATACTAACCCCTTCTGAAAAAAAAAGAACTTGAAAAATGTAAAATACATGCCATGACTAACACTCAAAACGTTTGGTGCTGTGCGGCAAAGCCGCTATGACGAAGACGTCGGCTTGCTCCGAGTGAAGGTTTGTCGTAGCTTTTCCCGTTTGGAGGTCATATGTTACTCAATGTTTTGCCATCACAAGTTAGTTGAAGTCACTGCAAAGTTCCAAGGAAAGTTAAAAAAATAAAAGAGTTTTTTTTTTTTAATATTGACGCCCAATTTTGTCACATTTCGAAATATCAGCTGCCTTTCCGCGTTTATAACAAGAAGACAATTAAGGGTGCACATAATGTCTTTGTATATTCGGAAAGAATGTTTATAGGCGCTCATTTTGATATGTTTCGTGAAGTATTTGAAATGGTTTATTTAGAAAAAAATTGTGAATATGTCTCTAAAACGCGTTTTTATGTTATGTTTGATATTTTTTGCATAGAAATAATTTATTAATATTTTTACTTTTTTGAGTATGTGTTGCATATCTTTTGTAAAATGTATTAAAAAGTTATGGTGACGTAAAAGTTTTGATGAGAAAATGACTACTGTGCAAATAAGCATCGTAAAATCTTCTCGATGTCCACACGTCAAGCTTCTCTATTTTATATCTCAGCGAAAAAAATTGTTCCGGCGTTCATATATAGCTTAATGTTCCTCCCAAGAACATGGCTTTCATATATATTTTTAACGAGAATATAAAAATTATGACCCGGACCATATCATTGCATGAACTGGCGTGGAATCACCCAGTACGCAAACTCTAACTCAGGAGCCTCAAGCAATGAGTGCATGCACACTAAGCATTTCAGATGAAGGTCCCTTCTCTGAAATTTCTTCCTTCAATAGCACAATTGGGAGAGCAGTTGACTTTAGCGGAAACGATTGCTGTCAACTTTAGATCGCTGGTTTGAATTCGGCTAGACAGAAGAAATTCGTCTTTCCTTATAAATTCTGCAGGGGTGAGTGCAACTTGGCCCCGCAGCTGTGGTGGCTGAGAGAGATCATGTGATTGATGACGTCACCGTGAGTGTTCGCGAAGGACACCCATGCAATTTCCCGGGAAGGTTCCCGCTAAGAGCTGTCACTGTAAATTCCATTTAATGGGTCATGTGGTTACTTCATAAGGGATATGGGTCGTATGGGTGCGTATATTTTTTTTATTTCTTTCCAGAACAAATTTTATTATAGCGACGTGTCGTCGACGTTGGTTCGACTGCACTCTCCTTCTAAACGTTCGCTTTCCTCGACGACGTGGTACAGGTATACCTGAGCACTCGGCGAGGCTCGTGGGTCCTCCACCGCGTGGCCCCCAACGGGTTCCCGATGGACACGGTGATTCAGCGCCGCTACTACGCGCCCCTGCCCATGTGGCTGCTGAACACGCTGGCAGAGCGCGAGAGCCAGAAGCTGTTCAACCACGACCTCCTAGGCCTGAGGCCCCGGCACCGGTTGTTCCAGCAGCACCCGACCATCAACGATGCCCTGGCCAACCGCATCCTCAGCGGCACCCTGGTAGTCAAGGGGGACGTAGCCGAGGTCACCGAGAGCGGCGTGCTGTTCAAGGGAGAGCAGGAAGACACCAAGCTGGACGACATCGTGCTCGCCACTGGATACGAGATTAGGCAAGTCTACCAGAACCCTGATTTCGGTGAAGGCGAAAGCGAGAGCGTTCTTGTCTTCTGATTGGACATGGCGCGCACGTAGTCAAACAATAAAATGTTTTACACGTTCACTCTACTTAGTTTCAGTCCCGACGCAGCCATACTACGAGATAATGGGACCAATCAAGTAGCTTAAAATGCACAAGTCACTAGGCCTTTTTGTTCATGTAGAAATATATAGAAACATAACGAACAGCAAGATGGTGTGCTTATGACACTGTCTAAATGTTCAAATCGCCTCGCAGCCTCGGCTGTGCCTGGAGTTAACGTGAAACTAAGCATAGCTCAGAATTCGACGCTATTTTGGTGAAAGCACATCCACAACATTCAACTAGCGAGATAAGTCTTGCGAACTTTGATGTGCTTCTCCATTCTTTCATTCACCGGTTTATGTCAGCTGATGTATGGCTGCGGAAAAACTTCAGTTTTGCCAACGAAGCGGGGTTTTAGCCAATATCCGATTTCACTTTGCAACAGCGCTCGATTCGTAGAAGACAATAAACTTTTTTGCGGTGTGTTAGCAGACGACATACGGTATTTCTTGTTTAATTTATGTCTTCGAATAGCGTTTTGTAGCACACAAACCGCCTATGAACACTATCTTCGCTCACTCCGTGAGAGGCCAATCAGATCGCGCTATTTCTTTCGCGGCGTCTAAAATCGGACTCCAAGTCCCGCTTACTCGAAGCGCTAACCGCGGCTAAAGTTAACCGCAGCACCTAGGAGAGGGATTTTGAAATAACTTGACTGGGGGTCTCGGTAGGGATGTGGGGAAACACGGCGGTGGCCCGGTGAGTGAGCACCGCTGGCTTTGGAACTAACATGTCGTTTTGGGTGCGATATCGGGCGCGTTAGTCAGCAACGAATGGTGCAGGAGGCTTTCGCTTTGCCTAACCTCACTTAAATCGCAAAGCATGAGCAATGAGCTCGCCGCATTTTTTAGAAAGTCTTTCAATTCTGGCCGTTCTTAAGCCTAAATGAACGCGATAATGGACCTTTTCCAAATAGATCGGCACCAGGCGGTGGCTGCACGAACTAAAAATCGAGGAAGTGACCTACCTGCGCCAGCAATCGATAATGGGAGCTACGCTACCAGTTGCTTCGCTCTCTGAGCAGCGTCGCGTGCCTAACGCGGCTTTAAAGAGGGAAATCCGTAGCGTCCACCCAAACGTCGTGTTTTTCTTTCCGTCCACTTTCTTTTTTTGTGCAACACAATTATATATATGCTGCAATTACGTGTTCTACTCGTCGATCTACAGCCTCATTCCGAATTTCCTCGGTTTTTCGTGCCGACTTCCACCGCTTGGCATCGGGCGCTCGCGCGTGCGCAGAACGCTTCTCGGAAAAGGTCTATTGTCGGCATGGCAACGTCTTTGGAAAGCAGATTACCTTGGCTCAATGGGCCGGGTATTGATAGCACACAAAAGCAGAGAGGTTCCAAATAGACCTTTTTCTAAATCACCCAAGCATCGAGGAGAACGCTGGAAGTGTAATTCTACGGTCCGCGCTCGCTGGCCTTCCTCTTACAAAAGATTTGAAGAACATAATCACAAAAAGGCTTTGACGAACCCGCGTTCGAGGCAAAATTTGTTTTAGACTTTTTTGCTTTAGAACAATTACTTATGCAGACGCCAGCACGTGCAACCCGTGTAACTACACTCGTAGCGTGCACCTCGGTGCTTGGGAAAATTAGAAAAAGGTCTATAGGGATGCTGTCTGCTTTTGTCTGCTATCAATGCCCGCCCCATTGAGTCAAGGCAATCCACTTTCCAAAAACGTTTCCATGCCGACAATCATCGCGTTCATTCAAGCTTAGAAATGACCAGAATCGAAAGACTATCTAAAAAAAAAAATGCGGCGAGCTCATTGCTCATGCTTTGCGATTTAAGTGAGGTAAGGCAAAGCGAAGGCCTCCTGCACCATTCGTTGGTGACTAATGCGCCCGATATTGCAGCTACAACGACATATCCGTTCCAAAGCGAGTGGCGCTCATTCACCGGGGCTCCGCCATGTTTCCCCGCATCCCTGCCGAGCCCAGTCACGTGATATCAAAATCCCTCTCCTAGGTACTTCGGCTAACTTTAGCCGCGGTTAGCGCTTCGAGCAAACGGGCCCAGGTGGCAGTACCATACTGTGTGTCTAGGGTCCGCATAGCGGCTTATGCGGATGGCAAGTTCGCCTGCTTCTTGCACAGCGGTTGCGATGATGTCCGAACGCCGAGCTCTCATTGGCTGATTGATAAAAACAGTGGGTAGACCTCAAGGCATCTAGCATTGAGGTCTACTCACTATCCTTTCAATCAAAGCGAATCAAAGCTCGGCGTCGTTCTGACGTCACCGAAACTTCTGCGCGAGGAGCAGACGACTTGCTCTCCGCATGCGATGTTGTTACGATCTTCATTTGCCACCGCTTCGAAGGGCTCTCTCAGAAATAGGGGGTGTAGGGGCCACACTCCATTTACCGGATGTAATACCACTCAGCTACATTTCGACGTTCAGTCCACTGACGTCGAGCGGGCGATTCAAACTTTTACGAGCGGCTTGATAGCTGTTGGATGTCGAATTGTTGTTTTGGTGTTACATATGGGACAAAGGGTGTATCCTCCTATACCCCCTATTTCTGAAAGTCCATTTAGCCACTGCGGTTCCATGACTCACCCAGTCTTTAGCGTCCACCAAGGAATTACACGAAAGCAGCCAGCGCAGAGTTTATCCGTGTGGAAAATGTAGTGATGCGAGTTGAACTCGTGATGGGGCGGCTCGAAATCTAATGGGCCTTTTTGCGAAACGTGGAGAGAAATCCCGCAGCACGTTATGACACACAGCTCTCAGCTGTGCCGAAATTCTTTTGGGGAACAGATTGCATGGAATCGGCTGCAGGAGACGACGGAGGCTATTGCAGAGAAGCAGGCGAGTTCCCGACGGAAAGCAAGCATCTCCGCTACCCTACCGTCTCTCTCTCTCTCCCTCCCTTTGGCTCTTTTCTTGTCACGTAGTGCATGCTGAGGGTTAGAGCAAGAAATATACAGAACCTTGACATATTTTTTTTTTCGAGCTTGCGTGAGGCCTTTGGTACTTTCGCAATAGGTTTAGGGATAGAAGAAATGGCAGAGATCGCCGCCTCGTGCGCAAATGTAGTGGGTATGCCAGATACATAAATTGTAAGGTTGCACTGATGTTGCTTCGTCTGCTGGGGATGTTTCATACAAGCGTTAATTTTGCACCTGGATGTGGCACTTTGTGTCAAGCAATCAGTAGAAATAACCTCACGTCATGCGCAAGAAAAATTGTGTGCTTTACTTAAACATTAACTCGGACATAGCTAGAAGTCACTGGGAAGTTTGTAAAAATCAATTAATCAACTCGCGTTACGTCAAAAAATGTCTGTAATGATGCTTTACTAGGGCACTTCCGAAGAAATAAGCAAACTTGATTTCGTCATTATTAAATTTCATACGTTTTTGCAATACCGTTTCTTGCTATATAGTATTTAACATACTGCATTGTGGACCAGAATGTAAGACAAAAACATAAACTATTTAACACCACGAATATGGAAGATAGGGTGATAGGTCTTACCATTCTTAATCCAGTGTGAAATTTGAGCTCAAGGCTGGTTGCAAAATGAGCTGGAAAACATTTGTGCCCGCACAAAGTGAGCTAAGATAGTAATTTGCATGTAACAATTGGCAAAAGCCAGATAGCCGTCGCGTCTTTTAACTTTCCTTCTAAATTTAGCGATCCGCGGCAACGTTCACTCCCGAAGGAAAAAAAAAAATCTGAAGAGTAAATTTTTTTTTTAGCTTTTTTGTTTAATGTTTAAATGATTATGGTTCGAACAACTTGATCTTGGCCACGGGGCTATTCGGCCGCAGTTACAACACTAGCTGCGAGGAAGCGGCAAAAAGAAAGCATTTCACTAGAAGAATAAATCCTACACTGCGAAAACAAATTGTCTCTGGCTCGAACGGTTTTGCGTATTTAAAAGAGCTGGATGCTTGCAGCGTCGCGTTTTCCAATTTTAAACTTGCTGGGCTACGACGGCAGATACGGTGCCGCCATCTGTCGTCGTAGACGCCCGTCGCGAGAGCAGATACAGCCGCCTCTGCTGACTTTTCGAGTCCGGTATCTCAACGCGCCGGTCGAAGCCCTTTCTCTCGACACCGTGTGAATGCCTGACAGCGTGAACAGCGCGATTCGTTCTTTCGAAGATTAAGCGCCCCCCAGCTGGGGGAGGAGTTGGCGCTTTAAGTGCACTGTCTAGCGCAATAGAGCAGATGATATTGCCGCCCGCGTAGCTGGACAAGTGGGCGGCGCGGCCGTAACCTAACGGTTATCGTGCTGGCCTCCCACGTGAAGAGCCAAGGTTCGATCCCTGGGCGCGGCGCGTCTTTTATATATTCTTGCAATTCACTGTTCTCGTAAATTCGAAAAATCTGTTGCACGTTCTATGAGCGAACCTTCTATGCCGATTGTTCGAGAAGCCCACGCGTGTACACAGTGGCGTAGCTAGACCATCTGGCACCCGGGGCCCTCAGGTCTTTTGTCACCCCCCCCCCCCCCCCCCCCCCCCGCTCCCCGAGACCGCAAAGCTAAAAGCCATAACCGCGATGCGAGGTCACGCAGCGATAATGAAATAATAAATACAGGGTCAAAGCACCATCGGCACCTCGTCGGCTCCCTGATACCCCACGACCCCCAGACATCGTCCTGCGACCCCCCTTTGCACACCTCTGGTTTAGAGAACGTGAAGGCTCAGTTTAGAGAAACTACGCGGCGGCAAGCTAGGCTTCCAAACAGACCTTGTGGTCACCCTCAGTATCGCTCCGGGAAAGTATGATATAATTTTTATTTTTATTTTTATTTTTATGTAGCCTGCACTTTGTTGTGATACTGAAAGATTTATGGCTTGTGAATATTGCTCTTTTAACTTTTGTATAACTATTCGTGTTCTTCATTTCC